AGTGTTCCATCTCATTTCCCTTTGGGGTTGCTGTAGGTGATCTGGAAGTCTGGTTTTGAGACTTATTTATGTGTTTTCTCCTTTCGACTGGGGGGCGGGGAGCTGTTAGTGCCTGCACGGATTACCTCCTCTGAGCTGGGAGAGGTGGGCCAGGGGCCGGGAGCAGCGGTAGGGATGGTGGCCGGGAAGCCCCTTCCTCTGGTCCAGGAGCAGTAGGATGGCAGCTCAGAAGCCCCTACCTCTGGGCCGGGAGCCGTGGGTGGGATGGTGGCCAGGAAGCCTCCTCCTCTGGGCCAGAAACGGCGGGACAGGAGGTGGCCCAAAAGCCCTTTCCTGTGGGCTGGGAGAAGCGGGAGGGATGGTGGCGGGGAAGCCCCTTCCTCTGCACCAGGAGTAATGGGATGTTGGCCCAGAAGCCCCTACCTCTGTGCCAGGAGCAGCGGGACTCAGTACCGTGGTCTGGTGGTCTCGTGTCCTCTGCGTCCCTGCAGTGTGGAACCAGTTGGCCGCACAGAGGAGCGGGGTGTGTGTGTTTGTGTGTGTGTGTGGGGGGGTTGTCCAGTGGATTGTTGCCAGGGCGCGGGCTGATTCGGCATGTTCCGCTGCACTCAGGACCTCAGCAGGGTGTCCGCAGACCTGCTTGTCTGAAGCGGGCTGATTCTGCGTGTTCCGCGTGACCGTAATGGTGGATCCTTATCCACCTACTCACCAGATCTTGTGCCATGCAACTTCTGGCTCTTCCTCAAATTCAAAATGACCATGAAAGGGAAATGTTTTGAAGTGTTGCTGGCTCTGTACGTTTACTAGGAACAAAAGGCAGAGCTCAGAACAGGCGTTTCAGTGTTTCTAAACAGGGGCTGTGTTGAGGCTTATCAGTGCTTGAACTGTATTATGACTTCTTTGTAAAACATGATATTCTGGTTCTAGTGCTTTGTGTTAAAAGTAAATATCACATTTTAAGTGAACTAGATTCCAAATTTCCGGAATCTTCTACACGGTGGCATGTTGGGGAGTACCATCTACCACAGAAGGTTAGATTTTCAGGACTAAGTTACAATCAAGTCCTAGTTCATCTTAACTAGATGATACTGGAAAAGTCACTTGTCTTTTTTGAATTTAGGCTTTTAGGCTTTAAATAGTGATAATGTCAGCCCTTTGAGGCTTGTAGGATAATATATTTCCTCATGAAAATTATAACATGCAGGAGTCCTTAGTAAGTGGCAGTTGATGTAGCTACTGCTCATGTTATGGAGGACATGATTTTTTTTTTTTTTAAACTGGGAATCAAACTTGGGACCTTGCGCTTGTGAGGCAGGTGGCAGAACCACTGAGCTAAATCCCTGAGAGAGTACTTGATTTTTTAGTGACTTTTTACACGTATCACCAGCAGAGAGAGAGAGAGAGAGAGAAGGAGAGAGGAAATGTACTGCTTGATGATTAGTAAGTAATGCTTATTAATGAATGATCAATGTCTACAGGAATGCAAATAACCTCATATAGAGAGGATCAGAGATAGCCACTGTCCACTTGGCTGCCTATGCTGTCCTGACGTGTCACAGAAGAGTGTTCAGTCATGTTTCCCTGTCAGTCTTACAGGATGGAAGTCATTGATTTGTCCCATGGTAAGTCCTGCTAATGCTGTTTTTTAGAAGATCTGTTTTAGATTCCCCTGCATAGTATACATCCAGTGGCCTGGGCCAGAATAATCCTGTTGCTAGCTCATTTCAGGAATGCTGACATGGGCAAGAGAGTGCTTTGGTTATAGGTGCTAATTGTTTCATTCACAAGGTCTGTTGCCTTGAATGGTTCGAAAGTCAAGTTCTTTACCTGTGCTTTTCCCTGGCCAGCATGGCTTACCACCCCTCTTTCTGGCTCTAGGTGAGGTAGATTACTCTGGCATTGTATGGCAATAGTGCTACGTGTGTGTTTTTCTAAGTGTGTTAGCTTATATGGGACTTTTAAACTGAATAGAATGACTTCGAGGCATGTGAATATGGGAAATGTGGTCAGCTCTGGATTTTCATGCCTTCTTTTTTTCCTACTAGCTTTATTTTCTAGTGGCCCAGTCTGTTTTCACGAAGAACAGAAAAAAGCAGAAAGCATGGTGGCTGACTGTTTTCCAAGTTATAAGGTATGACAAGAGTCCAAATGGCATAGTAGCATCTGTAGCAGTTCACAGCCATGGCACAGCACAAAGGATCAGAGATTACTTGGAGTCCATGTGTAGTTTAACTTCTAAGAGGGCACAGAGGGCCTACTGCCTTGACTAAGACTCCTCAGCATGAGAGAGTCTCAGGAGAAAGGACTGCCCTGATCTGAAGCTTCTATGGCTTTTTATTGATAGGACCAGGAAGCAAAGATAAAGGACAAAAGAAGGACACCTGTGTAGGAATTCATGTAGAGGACAGGGGAAAGAGGGTAATGACAGGGTGATCTGCTACATGACTGATCTTAGGGCTAATCTAAGTAATAAATTGGAGTATAGGGAAGACCAGGGCCAGGGCAGTCATTCCTCAAGGCAGTGTGGGTTTTTTTTTGGTACTGGGGATTGAACTCAGGACCTTGAGCTTGTGAGGCAGGTGGTGGACCCACAGAGCTAAATCCCTGGCCCCAAGGCAATGTGTTTTGATCCTACATGGACTTGTGGCCCTGCCACCAGTTATCTTTTCCTCTTTGACCAACCATTCTAGGAAGTTTTGGGCTTGTGGCCCCAAAAGTTGCTTATCTCTGCATATCCATCTCATACAGACCTCTGGCCAGTGCCCCCACAAGCATGCATCAAAGAGCTGATTCCCCCAGTTATATTTCCCCAGGAGTGAATCTTATAATTGTGAATGATTATCCTGAAAATCATTCCAGCACTTCAGTAATTACTAATTAATCTTGACTACATGTCCTTGATTTTGCTGAATGGGCTGATGATAAGGAAAATGAAAATGTCCTTTTCTCACAGACTTTATTTGTTCATCACCAATTATCAAATGTGTGCATTTTTCTCAAGAGTGTACTTTAATAGAGGGAGTTAAGGAGCTCTCAGTCTAGTAGTGGTGAGATAAATTCATGTTTGAGATGTTCCATGTATAACCATGAGTGGAGAAGATGGATAGTGAGTATGGATATAGAGATGTGTCTCTAGGGCAGTGGTAGCAAACCTATGGCACGTGTGCCAAAGCAGACTGTTTGTGTCATTGAAAGCTCTAAAAGATTCACCATCACTGCTCTATGGCCACTGTTCAGTGAGGTAAACAATAGAAGCATTTCCAACTTGTTTTTATTTTTTAATGGTACTAGGAATTAAACCCAGGGCCTTTGCATTGAGCTACATCTACAATCCTTTCTTTATTTTCTTTTTTTATTTTGAGACTGTATCTTGCTAAGTTGCTCAGGCTGGGCTCAAACCTCCTGCCTCAGTTTCCCAGAGTGCTGAGATTACAGATGTGTGCCAGCACATTTGGCTCTCCCTTATAGGCAGTGGGTTCCCTGTCCTTATTCTCCATGAACATTGGAGATGTTACTTGGCTTAAAATAGTATGTGTGTGATGATTTAGGGCTCGCTGACCTTTGAGGATGTGGCTGTGGACTTCACTCCGGAGGAGTGGGCTTTACTGAACCCAATTGAGAGAAACTTATACAGAAAGGTGATGTTGGAGAACTACCAGAACCTGGTCTCAGTAGGTAAGACTGCTGTCATTCCTTGTAGCCTCTCTTGGAACAGGAATATGTATTTACTGTGATTTAAGATGGGTGCTGTCAACTCAGCACAGTGGACAGTAACAGAGGCATACTCCCTGCCCTAATATGTTATAGTTTGTGGTAGTGGTTCTCAAATATGGTTTTAGGGTCAGTAGTCTCACTGTTGGTTTCTTAACAAATACATTTGTAGTTTCTACCTTTGACATACTGAATTAGAAATAGAAACTCTTTAGTTAGGGCCTTGTCATCTGTGTTTAACCTTCCTGCCACATAAATTTGATGCATTAAAATATTTAAGAATTATTGATGTGCCAGATGTGTCACACACCTGTAATCCTAGCACTTGGGAGGCTGAGGCAGGAGGATTGTTACCAGTTCACAGCCAGCCTGTGCTACATAGTGAGTTAAAGGCCAGCCTGAACCTATATAGTGAGACCCTGTCTCAAAAAAAACAAAACAAGAATTATTGGTGAGCCAGGTGCCAGGTGTGATGGTATGCACCTGTAACCTGAGGTACTTGAGAGCCTGAACCAGGAGGAGCTCGAGTTTGAGGCCTTCCTGGCAACTTGGCAAGACCCTATCTCAAAAATAAAAAGGCTGGGTGTTTGACTCAGTGATCCTTGGGTTGAACCCCATAGCCATAAAAAGAAAAAGAGGAAAAACAAAAAACAATTACTGGTGTTTTTTCCCCCATGATAACAAAGTTCTCAGCCAGGGATGGTGGTACAGGCCTATAATCCCAGCTCTCTGGGAGGCTGAGACAGGAGGATCACAAGTTTAAGTCCTACTTTTATTCTATAATAATGTTATGTTTACTAATATATTTAATTTTTAGGATGTTATTCTAAATTTTGACCCCTTATGCCATGATTGTCAAGTATCATTTCATTTATTATTATAATTATTACTTTTTTTTTTTCCTGTGCTGGGGATTTCTCTGCCTGGGCAGCTTAGTGACTTAACCAGACCCTGTTGTCAAGGTTTTAAAAAATCAGGAACTTGAGCTGGGGATCTAGCTCGGTGGTCCGCCACCTGCCTCGCAAGCACAAGGACCAGAGTTTGATCCCCGGTACAAAAAAAAAAAAAAAAAAAATTAGTGACTGGAGATGTAGCTCAGTGCAAAGACCCTGGGGTCAATCTCTAGTACTAACAAAACAAAACAAAGCAGAACTCCTATTTCACTTTATTTTCTATTTGATTCATATTTAGTGTTTTGTAAGTGCCTACACAATCATCACTTTAGTTTTTGAGTGTCAGAGGTCAGTGCCTTTCAGATACATAGTGAGGAGATATTTGCATATTGAGGTCATTAGCAGTCATTTCATTGTCATTAGAACTGTAGTTCCTAAATCATGGGAAGGTTTATTATTTCGTGTGTAAGCCACTTCCGTGAATGCATCTTTCCTCTTGGGTAGGATGTCAGCTCATCAAACCCAGCCTGATCTCTTGTTTGGAGGCAGAAGAAGAGTTAAGGACAGTGGAAAGAGGTGTTCTTCAAGGTATGTATTGTTTAAAACATCTCTGGACACTGAGAAGTTTAAGATGATTGGGGTATAATGAGGAACCTTTATTGTGGAGTGAGTACCCTTTGAGTCAGAAGGCTGGGCCATTAGGCTCAGAAATTTTGGGATATTGTCACATCCCAGTACTCCATTACTTTCCATCTCTCCAGTCTTTCTTACAATCACAACCATTTGTTCTTTTCTTCTTTGAGTTCATGATTTTCATGTATGCTGTTTTTCCAGATCTTTCCTGCTTTCCTTCTATGATAGTACTGTTTCTCTTTGCTAGAACATTTAGTTTTTAGAATAAGATATTAATTTCTAAATTCTGACCCCTTGACCTTAGGATTGTCAAATTTCATTTATTATTATAAGTATTTCTTTTTCTGTACTGGGGATTGAATCCAGGACCTTGCACATGTTAACACAGAGCCACATCCCAAACTCTTCAAACTTTAGATATAACCAAACTGCTGAAGTATATCATGACTTTATCTTTTAGCATATTTAGTATGGAAAAAATATAAATCAGCTGTATTATTTTTAACTTTTCTAGCCTACTGTTTCATTGTGGAAACACATTTTGTTTTTTATAATTTATTTCAGAATGGGCACTGCGACTTCACACCAAAGAGACAGCACTTCAACGGGATATTTTTTGGTTAAAAACATCAAAAGAGATACAACCGGTAAGACTCACAAGAGATACTTCTAATTTTTCACATTCAGAGAGGATTGGGGGTTTTATGATAGAAATAAGAGACATTTGAGAGAAATACCCTTCACCCTCAGGGAGCAGTGTCTCTGAGAAGATACCCCAAACCTGATGTGAAATGTTAGAGCTCCTTCAGGGGCACATTACCCTTGTATAGTAACTAGACATTGAGTTTTTAAAATCATCTCATGAAGGCCGGGGATTTAGCTCAGTGGTTTAGTCACCTGCTGCGCAAGTGCAAGGACCCGAGTTCGATCCCTGGTTCCAAAAAAAAAAAAAAAACTCATGAAAATCTGCTAGAACCCTTTTGAAATTAGAGAAGATGACATAGGATCCTACTGTTGGATTCCTTCATTCTTATTGAATAAAATTCAGAGGGTAGGAACATTATGCATGTAATGAAAATAGCAGAAGTCATAATCATCATCATGATTATGGAATCTAAGTTTGAAAAAATAATTTCTTTGGGGAAAATTTTTTTTTTTGGGTTAACAGGCAAGGAACAGGCACATAGAAAAGTTGTATGGCCTTCAGCCTTGTGGAGAAATCTTCAAAGAACATTCATGCCTTCTGACACATGTGGGAACACAAAATGGAGGGAACACTTGGGATTGTGGTCAGTATAAAAAAGACTTTCTTGCTCTTCACAAGGAAACATCTTGTGCAGACCAACTTCCTGTGTTCAGTCAGTATGGAAGAGACTTCAGTCTGACTCAGAATGTGGCTTACCAGACAGCATGCACACAAGTGAAATCTCTTGAATGCAGTGACTTTAGGCAAGCCTTTGTCAGTCAGCCGCCACAGCTTCAGGCACATGGGAGAACTCAGAGTGAAGACAAACTCTTTGAATGGACACAGTGTGGTGAGGCTTTTAATCCCTCTATGAGTCGTGCTGCACATGTTCAAATGTACACTGGGAAAAAACCCTACGAATGCAAGGAATGTGGGAAAAGTTTTAAATATTCTGCCAATCTTAATATTCATATGCGAACCCATACAGGAGAGAAACCTTATCAGTGTAAGGAGTGCGGAAAAGCCTTTTCTAGGTGTTATCCACTAACTCAGCACTTAAAAACGCACACTGAAGAGAAGCCTTTTGAATGTAAGGTTTGTGGAAAATGCTTTAGAAATTCTTCATGCCTTAATGATCACTTTCGAGTTCACACTGGATTGAAACCCTACAAATGTAAGGACTGTGGCAAAGCATTCACAGGGCGCTCTGGCCTTAGTAAACATTTACCAACTCACACTGGAGAGAAGCCATATGAATGTAAGGAGTGTGGGAAGGCCTTCACTTCCTCCTCTGGCCTTATTAAACACATGAAAAGTCACACGGGAGAGAGACCCTTTGAATGTGACCATTGTGGGAAGGCTTTTGCTTCTTCTTCATCCCTTATTACACATTCAAGAACCCACACTGGAGAGAAGCCTTTTGAGTGTAAGGTATGTGGAAAAGCGTTTACATGTTCTTCATACCTTCGCATCCACATGCGAACTCACACTGGAGAGAAACCTTATGAGTGTAAGGAATGTGGCAGAGCCTTCACTGAGCGCACAAGCCTTACCAAACACCTACGAACACACACTGGAGAGAACCCCTTTGAATGTAATGTATGTGGGAAAGCATTCGCCTGTTCCTCCTACCTTCACAATCACATACGGACTCATACTGGTGAGAAACCTTACATTTGTAAGGAATGTGGGAAAGCCTTCACTGTTTCCTCACACTTAAGTAAACACATAAGAATTCACACAGGTGAAAAACCCCATAAGTGTGAGGAGTGTGGGAAGGCCTTCACTGTGCGCTCAGGCCTCACTAAACATGTGCGGACTCACACTGGGGAGAAGCCCTATGATTGTAAAGAATGTGGGAAAGCCTTCACCACATCTTCAGGCCTCCTTGAACATATAAGAAGTCACACGGGAGAGAAACCGTATGAGTGTGATCAATGTGGGAAAGCCTTCGCTTCCTCCTCATACCTTATTGCACATTTAAGAATTCATACTGGAGAGAAGCCCTTTGAGTGTAACATGTGTGGCAAAGCATTTACATGTTCCTCCTACCTTCACATTCACATGCGAACTCACACTGGGGAGAAACCCTATGAGTGTAAGGAATGTGGCAAAGCCTTTACTGTTTATTCACACCTAAGTAAACATTTAAAAACTCACAGTACAGAGAAATCCCATAAATATAAGGATTGTGGGATAGCCTTCAGTACTTCTTCTCATCTTCCTGAACATGTAAAAACACTAGAGAAAAGCCCTTTGGATGCAAGGAATGAGGAAACTGCTTTCGGAAATCCTCTTGCCTTAGTATTACATTCAGATTCACAGTGGCAAGAAACTGTATCGATGTAAGCCATGCATAGTGTTCATTTGTCCCAGTTACTTCAGACCTGAAAGAATTCACAATATAAAGAACAAGTCATCAGAGTCAGCTTACAATCCACCTTGCAAGGACTCATCTTGAAGCTGTACAATATCAGAAACATGGAAAGCCTTCTCTGTCTTGAGATCTCACTTAAATATGTGAGATTTTTCCAATGGAGAGAAGCTATTGATGCAACATGTGAAGCACTTTGGTGGTTGCCTGTGAGAGCACAATGGACAAAGACTTCATGAAAGTAAGAAATGTTAAAAGGTCATTGTTTATGTTATTCCTCAACCTTTAATAAAGGGATTCTTACTTGAGAAACTATTCATGTATGGAATATGAGGATTGCTTCTCTGTTCTGAAATCTTATATGCTGACAAACACGTGACTTTCTTGGTGGTTTTATAGATTTATTTTGAGCATTTGCAGTTTCAATATTTGAAATGTTTTGAATATTTGTGAATTTTTATGGCTTTTCAGTTTTAAATACTTAATTTCTATTATAGTCCTACTTTTTCTTCCACCTTTACTAAGATATGACCGAGAACTAAAACATACATAAATGAAATGATTTCCACAGTCAGGCTAATTAAAATACCTCTTACATGATATAGTGACCTTTTTTTTGGTGTTGTAAAACACTTCCTACTCAAGGCTAAGTCAGGTGTTCAGTACCTTATTACTAACTATATTCACATGCTGTATATAATGTCTCAAGAACTTCATCTTTTAACTGAAAGTTCATGCCTTCTGACAGATATCTCCTTAGTTGCCCCAACCCCTAGCGTCTAATAACGAGGTGTATTTTTTTCCTTCTGAGTTTGACTTTTAGATTCCATATTTAAGTACGATCATGCAGTGCTTATGTTTTTATGTTTGGCTTATTTCACATAGCATAATGTCTTCCTTTATTCATCCTTGTTGTCCTGGGTTGGAGATTTAGCTCAGTGGCGCCACACCTGCCTTGCAAGCACAAGGTCCTGAGATCGATCCTCGGTACTACAAAAAAAAAAATCATCATCCTTGTTGTCCTAATGGTAGAATTTCCTTTTTTTAAGTGTAAATATTCCATTACATATACTTATCATATTTTCTTTACCCAGTCACACATAAAGGAATGCTTAGGTTGTTTCCATACCTTGGCTATTAGTACTGCTTCATTGAACATGAGTGCATGTATTTCTTTAGGGAGTCATTTTATTTCTGTGGATGAATGCTTAGATATGTGGGATCATTTGGTTGTTCTTTTTTTTGGTACCAGGGATCGAACTTGGGTCCTTGCGCTTGCACAGGAGTGCTTGTTCTTATTTTTATTTATTTATTTATCTATCTATCTATCTATTTATTTATTTATTTTTGTGCCAGGGATCGAACTTGGGACCTTGTGTCTGCGAGGCAGGAAGCAGAGCCACTGAGCTAAATCCCTGGCCCTTGGCCCCTTTATTTTTAATTTTATGAGGAACTTCCATACTGTTTTTCAGATGTCTCCACTAGTTTTGATTCCATTTAGCTGTATACAAAATGTTATGGTTTCCTTCACATCCTTACACTTATTATCTCATTTTTTAGAATAAGCGCCATCCTAACATGTATGAAGTAATATAACATTTGTGGTTTTGATTTTCATTTCCCTGATGACCAGTGATTTTAAGAATCATCATCTACTTGTTGATCACTTACATACCTTTTTTTTGGGTAGGGGGGATCGAACTGAGGACCTTGCACTTTCGAGGCAGGCGTGGTGCCACTGAGCTAAATCCCCAGCCCTATTTACATATCTTTTTTAGAAAATTATGAAGGTCCTTTGCCTATTTTAAATTAGTTTTTCACTGTTATATGGTTCTTTTTTTTTTGAGGTACCGGGGATTGAACTCAAGACCTTGCACTTGCAAGGCAGGTGGCAGCACCACTGAGCTAAATCCCTGGCCCTTATGATTCTTTATATATAGGATGTTAATCCATCATTGGACATTTGGATTACAAATATTTTCTCTCAGGTACCATGGATAGTTTTTCAATTTGTTGTTTCCTTTGCTGTGAAGAAAGTTTTTAGTTTGGTATAGTTTTACTTTTTAAAAAATTGTTGTTTGTTTTTTTGCCTTTGTTGACTCTGTTGTTGGTGTTTCTAAGATCAGTGTCATGATGCTATTCTCCTGTTTCATCCCAGGAGTTTTATGGTTTCACAGCCTCAGGTTTAGTCTAATCCATTTTGAATGGATTTTTGTGTATGTTATGCAATAATGGTCCAATTGCATCCTTTTGCATATTGACATCTAGTTTTCAATCATTACCATATATGAACTGAGTTGTATTCTTGTGGTGTTTGTCAAAATTAGTTTTCTGTGCATTTATTGATTTTTGTTCCTTTCCATTGGTCTGTGAATCTGATTTTATGCCAGTACCCATACTGTTTTGATTACTGTAGCTTTGTGATATAATTTGAAATCCAGATGTGTGATACTTCTACTTTTATTCTTTTTTTTTGGTACTGGGTATAGAACTTGTGCCCTTGGACTTGTGGGGCAGGAGGTGGCACCACTGAGCTAAATCCCTGGCCCTCTACTTTTATTCTTGCTTAAGATTTTTTGGGCTTTTCGGAGTCTCTTATGTTTCTGTATGAATTTTAGGATTTTTTAAATAATTGTGTGACAAATGCCATTGGAATCTTGAAAAGGATGTCATTAAATTTGGCATTTTGGGTACCTTGGACATTTTCAAATATTATTTCAATCCATGAATATGGGATAAGTTTCCTTTTTTTTGGTACTGGGGATTGAACTCGGGACTTTGCGCTTGTGAGGGGCAGGCAGTGGAAACACTGAGCTAAATCCCTGGCCCCAACTTTCCATTTACTTATAACTTATTTAATTTTCTTATTTAATTTTCTAAATCAATGTTTTGTTTCAGTTTGTCAGTCTTTCTTCTCCTTAATTAAATGTATTTCTAAGGATTTTATTGGTTTGTTGTTATTGTCCACTTCTTTTTTCTTTTTTTTTCTCGGTACCAGGGATCAGACTCAGGACCTTGCTCTTGCCAGGCAGGTACAACACCACTGAGCTAAATCCCTGGCCCTTGTTTCTATTGTCAATGAAATTATTTTCTTAATTTCTTTTTTTGGTACTGGGGATTGAATTTGGGACCTTGTTTTTTGTGAGGCAGGCACCGGAACCACTGAGCTAAATCCCCAGCCCTCTTAATTTCTTTTTCAATGAACAACTGTTCATTATTGGTGTATGGTAACACTTTTTATTAGTGTATATTTATGATACATAATAGTTAACCCATTTATACTGAAGGTTGCAATCTTTTGAATTTTTCCATGAAATTAATGTTATGAAAAATTCAAGGAATAAGAATAAAGAGTAAGAATAAAAATTCAAGGAATAAGAATTTGAAGAGAAAAAATTGTATTATGTTCCATTGTTTCATGGATGTTCCAAAAATGGAACACTAGGCATTGAATCATTAACATTCATTGGGGAAATTGGTACATAAGCATACACTATTAATTTTTGTGTGCTGACTTTGTATTCTGCTGCTTTCCTGAATTCATTTATTATGATCATTCTTTCATGGGTCATTAGGATTTTCTATATTCAAGATCATGTCATCTGCAAACAATTTTACTTCTTTTCTATTTTTATGTATTTTCTTTTTCTTGCTTAGTTACTATGACTAGAACTTGCAGTATTATGATTAACAGAAGGTACCTGGGCACCCTTGTTCCTGTTCTTGAAGGAAAAGCTTTGAGCTTTTCACTGTTTGTGTATGATGATAACCATTGGCTAGTCATATATTGTCACTATTATGTTAAGGCATGATCATTCTATACCTAATTTGTTGAAAGCTGATATGAAAATATGTTGAATTTTGTTAAAATTTTTTTCTGCATTTTTTGTCAATGATTTTCCTTTCATTTTGTTGTGTAATGTGTAACATTTATTGATTTTGCATATGTTGAATCACCCTTGCATTACAGCTATAAATTTCAGTTGATAGTGATGCGTGATCCTTTTAATAATTGATTCAAATCTGAATGGGCTAAATTTGCCCATCAAAAGACATAGTGGCTGATTGCATTAGAAACAAGACACATCTGTGTGTTGCCTACAAGGGACTCAGTTCATCTTTAAGGACTCAAGTAGATGGGAAGAGTAGGGATGGGGAAAGATAAGCTTTGCAAATAGAAACCAAAAGAAAATGGAGGTGGCTGTACTTGCATCAGACAAAACAGACTTTAAGTCAAAAATTATAATGAGAGAAAACGAGGTGAGGGTGAGGAAGTGGTCATCTCATCAAGAGGATAGAACACCTACCTGGGTGCAGTGGGATGTGCCTATAATTCCAGCTACTTGGAGGCTGAGGTGGGAGTATCACAAGGTAGAACCCAGCTGTGGCAACAGTATGAGATCCTGTCTTTAAAAAAAAGTGTGTGGCCAGGGATTTAGCTCAGTGGTTTCAACACCTGCTATGCAAGCACAAGGACCGGAGTTCAATCCCCAGTACCAAAAAAAAAAAGTGGTGTGTGTGTGTGTACATATATGCATTTTATATATATATGTGTGTGTGTGTAACACACATATATGTGGGGGAAGATCACCAAAAAAAATGTATACACACTCCAGCAGTTCACCTTACTAATAAATGTCTAGAAGCTAATGGTCACCACTTTGAGCACCTCGTAGAGGCCAAAGGGAACTTGTATTAATCTTATGATGTCTCAATAAATTTAGTATTAAAATATTTATATAAGTTTTGCTTTGCCTTTTTTTTTTTTGTGGTTTCTCTCTTTATATATATGCACTTGACAACAGAGCAGCTAAGGAAGTGTCAGCAGATCTGAATCAAGAAATAGGTAGCAATACAAAAATAGTAGGGTTTTAAGTACCCAACTTTCAACAATGTATAGATTGTGTTGACTGAAAATCAATAAGAAAACATTGGATCTAAGCTATACTTTATCCTAAATGGACTTAACAAACCTGTTTAGAACATTCCTTCCAAAGGCAACATTCTGTCTATGTGTGGAAACATTCTCCAAGATTGATTATATGTTAGACTTTATGCAAATTTCACATTTTATCAGTTTCCTTCATCAGAATCAAGATTCATAATCTCACATTGCATTGATTTGATACTGTCAAAATCCAAAGTAACTATGGTTATTTAATGGTTGCATAGTGTCCATTTGTATATGATGTAATTACTGATGAGTTGGAACCTACTGCAGTCTTTTTTTTTTTTTTGGTATCTGGGATTGAACTCCGGACCTTGCACTTGTGAGGCAGGTGGCAGAACTACTGAGCTAAATTCCCTGCCCCTACTGCAGTCGTTTTAATGACTTCCATTATTTTCTTTTGACTTTTTTAGTGAATCATTTTGTCATTAAATTATTTTCATTCTTAAAAGTCTGGATTGTATATACTGTATTACCTGAAGACGTTTCTGTTTTAAAAGTCTTAATATCATTCCTTTCTCATAAAATATAAAAACAGTTTTGAACACAGTGATTTTTGTGACCAGGTGTTGACTGATAAGTTAGCTAAGAGACTGCTCTAGAATGGCATGAGGTGAAAGTGGCAATCCACAGACTAGTAGACACAGCACACAGCTGATGAAGAGGACACAAGATAACCTAAACTTTGCTAACTTTTCCAATTATGATAAATCAGTGTTTGCTCTCCCTTTGTTTTTTGGTCAGTCAAACCCCTGGAGTGAACCCAGGGCCTTCACACTGAGCTACATCCCCAACCCATTTTTATTTTTTGAAACAGGGAGTCACGAAGTTGCCCAGATGTGACTTGAACTTGCGATCCTCCTACCTGAGCCTCTCAGTGGATTAACAACATGGATATGTTAACACTTCTTGTAGGTTAGAATTGTAGCCATGGCTTAGCCATGATTTCTGTTCAGGATTCCATAAAATTGAGACCAAAGTGATGTACATGGTGCATTCTTCTGGAGATCCTGACACATCTAAGTATGTGTTTCCAGTGCTCCCTAGAAAGGTATATTGGGACCCTGGCCCTTTGTCTCTTTGCTCCCCAGTGAGCACGAGTTAACAAGTTTCCCCCACCACATGCTTCTGCCACGATGTGCTGTCTCACGTCAACAGGCACCAAAACAATAGGACCAAGCTACCATGAACTGAAACCTCTGAAACCATAAGCTAAAATCTTTCCTTCTTAAGTCTTTTAACCCAGATATTTTGTTACAGTGATAACACATAGTGTAAGCACAGGTATGCTGTCTGTCTCAGTGAATGCAGGTCTAAAACCTGGACAGAATGCATGGGGAAGCTTTTGAACAATCTGAGAAATAAATAGTAAATAATAGGAAATAGTAGTAGGAAATAAGCGGAAAAATCCATGAAATTTCAGAATATCAGCAAACAGTGCAACTTCCCCCTTCAGTATCATCTGATCTAAACTGTACAGCCAAAACACCCAGAAGTGGACACAGGCACCAAAGAAAGCTCACAAAGCTCTCCAGTATCTGGCACAGCCCACAGGGAGGAGTCTTCCTCATGCTCAGTGAGATAGAGGTGGATTTCATTTTCATTTGCCCCTACCCTTAAGCAGTCCTGTGGTGACAGCAAGATCTGCCAGGCATTGTGAACCTGAGCAGGAGACAAGACAACCACACTCTACTCACCTTTAGGTAGAGACTCCAAAAGTACTGCAACGTCTTTGAAAACACAACTCACACCGATGTCACAACCCACACAGTGCTGGTTCAAACTTGCAAGCTAAACCCAACTGAGTAATTGCCTGACTTTTAAAAATAAAGTACATTCTCTATAGGATTGATAGGTTGCAGGGGTGGGCATTAAAGTGCAGGCCTCAGACATGCTAGGCCAGTGCTCAAACACAGCTACAGTGGACACTTGAGTTAAAACTGGCCTCACATATGAACAACTTGAGTTACAGCTACAATTTTAGTTTTAACTTAAGACCAAAGTCTTGAGTTACAACCTGAATGCTGGTCTTTCCTGTGTGGGGCAAATTGAGAAATCCTGGGCCAATGTCTAAGGACACTGAAATCTGCCTGGAAGAAAGTGTGGCCTAAAATTGTATAGGAGAGAAACTTTGAAGGCTGTGTAGAGGAGCTTGAGCCTTCAGTTGATCCTGTGGTTGATGACATTGTCACTACAGCAGAGTCCATAGGCTTGCAGGTGGACAGTGGTGATGTTGAGGAACTGGTGGAGGAACACTCAGAGGAATTGTCTACAGGGGAATTTCAGCAACTTCTGGCTGAGCAAGAAAGAATGGCAGCTGAGGAGCTTTCTGAGGAGGGAGAGTATCAGCAATCAGTGCAGCAAAGTTTTTCTGAAATAAAGGAAATCCTGAAAAAATGGACAGAACTACAAACAATTGTAGAGAGGACGGACCTACCCAGATAGAGAAAAAAACAATTGTTGCATTCACTTGCTTAATAACGATGTCATATCATAACTACAGAACAGTGTTAAAAGACAGAAACAGACCATTTTAGACCAGTTTTTAGTTCTGAAAAGGTCAAGACTTAGCCACAAGCAGGTCCTAGTGGGCTACAGACTCTCTCAAGGAGAGAAAGGACACCGGAGAGCCACATTGCCGATGTTCTTATGGAAGGGGACTCTCCTTCCAAAAAATAAACACCTTCCATTTCATCCTCCCTTCCTGCAAGCCAAAGATGTCAACTTGAATGGATGGTGAGCATGGTATGAAATTGTTGTTTCTGGTAAACTAGGCACATTTTATAACTTTGATTAACACTAGGAAAGTTATTGGTGTTTCTAGTAAATTGTGCACATTATACAACCCTTTTTTATTATGAAAAGGTTAGTTAAGGGGTGCATTGGGAGGTTCAGAATGCATTATGGGTATTTCCATTATTTCATATGGGAAAAACAGTCTTGACTTTACAGTCAACCTGAGTTACAACCAGCCCTTGCAAACAAATTGAGTTCATAAGTCAAGAGTCCACTGTATATCCTCAACCCTCTCCATAGGGTGTAAGTACCCAGGACGCTACAACATAATACTCAAAATGTTTGGAATGTAATCCATAATTATTCAGGCTACTGTAGTCTTGTCATATTCTCAAGGGGCCTATGTGGCAGTACCAGGAGGCTAATATTCATGCCACCAGTGTCCTCCTATAAGAGGGGAAAGTAGGCTGTGATACAACTTTTTAAAGAAGTGATGATGAAAAACTTCAAATTTGGTGACAAATATAAATCTTGATGTTCAAGAATTTCAATGACCTAATACATGATAAGTCCAAGGAAATATAGGCCCAAACATAAATGACTAAATACTGAAGACAGAGAAAACCTTGAGCCTGAGAATAACAACATATTTTTGGGGGGGTAATGATTCAATCATCAGAAACCCTAAAGGATAAAAACAGATTAAGCATTTTTTCTTTTGCTAGTATTGAGGTTTGAATCTCAGGTCTTGCACATTCCAATTAAGTGCTCCACCAGGGAGCTACATCCACAATCCCTCATAGCATAGTTTTTGTTTTCTTTTGGTGTGGGTTGATTTGTTTTTGTGGTGATAAGAATCAAACCCAGGTCCATACTAGGCAAGGCTGTACCACTGAGCTATGCCCCCACTCCTGAATTAAACATTTTTAAGGACTGAGAGAAAAGGAACAAACTTAAACATTTGTGTTGGACAACGGGACTGTATTCTAGGATATTTGTCCTCTTTATTTGGCCTTAGTCATTGTCTTCGTGATGTGCAGGGAGCTGCTCAAGCTCCAGGTGATGACAGCTGTGTATGTGTCTATTTGATGGTGGTAGAGCTTTGGGAAGCAGTGATATAGGAAGTAGGATGTGGCAGAGCTGGCTGGGAAAATAAGTGGGACCTGTCAATTACAAGATCCTAGAACAGCTCCAAATAATTCAACAAAACCCCATATGTGGAACTTCTAACAGGCTCCCATGAGATGTGGACAACATATAATGACACGGATGCCACAAGGAGCCAACTATTGTGACTCTTCATGGTAGCTCACTATGTCTTCTAGACCAGAGTATACTTTTAATTTTGCTCTTTTTCTCCTTTCCTCTTTCGTTTGGCTCAAGTTTGCTCTGCAGAGCCAGTTTTTCTCTTATCCTTTTACCCCTCACTTTTCAAATAAATTTTTGGCACCGTTTTTGGCCTGTCTTGTCCAATTCTTTGTCTGAAGCAAGGAGGGCCTGGAATACCTTTAATTGGTGAGCAATTTCTAAAGAACGATCAGATAACAGCAGGACCTAGCAGGAAGCCCTAGGTCATGAGGTGGGGGTGTGCCCATGAAGAGGGCAGTGGAGTCCCATTCTCCAATCTCTTTGCCTCCTGGATCATGCTGTAAGTGGTTTGCTCCATTATGTGGTTTGACACTCTTGCCAGAAGCCCAGAGCAATGGAGATACCTGATCTCGAATCATGAGTCAAAATCAATCTCTCTCTTTGTCTGTCTCTTGCCTAATAGATTAGTCCTAGGTAATAGTAATTTAAAGGAAACTTATTTATATGCAAATACTCTAAGTAAAAACTAGCCACTATAATCCTGGCACTCAGGAAGCTGAGGCAAGAGGATTGCCTTGAACCTGGGCTACATAGTGAGTCCCAGGCCAGCCTGAACTACACAATGAGACCCTGTAAAACAAAACGAAACAAAACCAAACCCAAAAAACTAGCCAAAATAATCCAAGGATGGTACTGAATAGTCTGAATTACCATGGTTTAACAAGTGCCATCTATTCCCCACCCCCAATGCCTTCTTGTCAAAAATTGAAAAACTAATCCTAACCTTCACATAGAAATGGAAGGAATAGGGCCGGGGATTTAGCTCAGTGGTTCCAGCGCCTGCCTTGCAAGCGCAGGGTCCCGAGTTCAATCCCTGGTACCAAAAAAAAAAAAAAAAAAAACAAAGAAAAAAAGAAATGGAAGGAATAAATACAAAATAGCCAGCACAAATCTTTTTTTTTCAGTACCAGGTATTGAACTCAGGACTTTGTGCTTGCCAGGCAGGTGCAGTGTCGCAGAGCTACATCCGCAGCCTAGCCAGCATAATCTTTAAAGAGAGGAACACAGCTGGAAGAGTCACATTTTCAGATTTCAAAATGTGTTACAAAGTTGTAGTGATGAAATAATGTGATAGTGACTTAAGGATAGACCTATAGATTAATGGGGTTGAATTGAGAGTCCAGAAATAAACCCTCGTAGAGATGGTGAACTGATTTTTGGTAAGATAGCCAGAGTAATTCAGTGGGGATAGAAAAGAAAGTTTTCAACAGCCTGGAGTGGTTGTGCACACCTGTTATCTCAGCACTTGGTTGAGGCATGATGATGGCCACAAATTTGAGGACAGCCTGGGCTATGGAGTCAATTCAAAGCTGCCCTGAATTACATAGTGAGACCCTCCCTCAAAAATTTTTTTTTCAATAAATAGTACTTGTAGAACTGGATATCTATAAACTAAATCATGAAATTGGACGCTTACCTTATGCGACACACGCAAATTTAAAATCAAAGACTTAAATGCAAGACCAAAAACTAGAAGAAGGTATAGATAAGCTTCATGAAATTAGGCATAGAAATATTTTCTAAGATGTAATACCAAAACCAAATTGTAAACAAAGAAGAGATAAAGTGAATTGGATCTTAGCAAAACTACAATCTTTTGTACTTCAAGATGAGCATGGCAGTGCACATCAGGAATTCCAGCTACTCAGGAGGCTGAGGCAGGAGAGCTGCAAGTTCAAGGCCAGTCCGGGAAACACAGAAAGATACCATTTCAAAAACAAAAAAGTTGCAACTATAATGAGATAGCACTTTACTCTTCAAGGTTGGTTAACATGAGAAAGACTGTAATGAATGTTGACAAGGAAGTAGAGAAATTGGAATGCTCATATTTTTCTGGTGAGAATGTTAAATGTTAGTGCTCTTGTAAACAAGTCTATAGTTTTTGAAATCTTTAAACATCTAGTTACTTTATTTTTTCTTTTTTTTTGGTGCCAGGGATCAAACTCGGGTCCTTGCGCTTACTTTTGAAGCAGGCGGCGGAACCACTGACCTAAATCCCCGGCGATATTTTTTGGTTTTTTGAGACAGGGTCTCACTATGTAGTTCAGCTTAGATCTGAACTCACTATGTAGCCTAGGCTGACCTCAAACTCATGGCAATCCTCCTGCTTTAGCCTCCAGAGTGCTGGGATGACAGTCGTATACCAACATGCCCAGCTCTTTAGTTACCTTATGACCCAGGAATTGCAGACTCCTGGGTACATACTTAAGATAAATTAAAACTTTGTATGCACCAAAAATATGTGAATTTTTATTAGTACTTTTGCAGTACATAATGATCACACTTATCATGGGGGATTTGTACATGTACATAACACATCTTGTTTTTCTATCTCCTTCCTATTCCCTCCCTCCAATCCTACTCCTTACCCATTTACAAAAGCTCCATTTCCATTTTTTTCTTCAATTCTTTTTTTCCTTTAAATCCCTTTTCCTTTCCTTTCCTTCCTCTGATATGTGAATTTTTGTAATTACTCGTAATATCTCAAAAGTGAAAATGGGCCAGGGATATAGCTCAGTGGCACCGTGGCTGCCTGGCAAGTGCAAGGTCCTGAGTTCAATTCCTAGTACTGGAAAAAAAAAAGTGAAAACAGCTCCGATGTCTATGTATTGATGAATAATAAAACATGGTATAATTTGTAAAATAATATTTAGCTATAAAAAGGAAAGACATGCTACAACACAGATGAACTCTGAAAAACACGCCAAGTGAAAAAAGTTATTCACAAAACACTAATTTTATTCATATAAAAATGTCAGGCCAGGATTTAGCTTAGTGGTGCTCTGCCTGCCTCACAAGCACAAGGTTCTGAGTTCAATCCCCGGTACCAAAAAAAAAAAAAAAAAAAAAATTCATATAAAATGTCCACAAAAGGTAAATCTGTAGAGACATCATGTAGATTTATGGTTGCCTCGAGATTAAGGGAGGGTTTTGACATCGACAGTGTTCTTTAGGAGTTTGGAAAAGCTTATAAAATTATGGTTGCATGACACTGAATGTACTAAAAGTGGGTAAACTGCTTTATGTGAACCATATCTCAATAAAGCTGGACCAAAATGAAACAACAGTGAAAATCATGGTGGTACCCACATGATAGGGAACATGAAAGTTTAATGTCTACCAAGCACATACTGTAGTCATGTGAATTTTTATTTTATTTTTAAATTTTGCAGTGCTGGTGATGAAAGACAATGCTTCACACCTACAAGGCAAATACTTTACCACTGAGGGACACCCCTAATCCCAACTGACCATTTTACAGAGGAATGGTACTACCCTGCACCACATGCCAAAATGCATTCTACGCAGATGGAAATTTCAAATGTTGTTAAAAGTGTTAATATACAGTAGGGAAAATTAGGAAACTTGAATGTAATCTATAGTTTATGGGAACTTTTTAATGTAAGGAGATCTAAACATTATTATCTTTGGGGGGGTATCAGAGATAAACATTATTTCTTAAAATAAATTTCTTTGGCCCTATAAAGTTAAATGTTTTGTACACTAAAAGATGAAAATTTGACTTGAGGGTATAGCTCAGTGGTGGAGAATTTGCCTTGCATGTGTGAGGCCCTGGGTTGGATCCCTCACTCTGCAAAAACAAAACAAAACGAAATGATGAAAATTTAATGCCAAAGTAGTTATCGACTCCATAAAAACATCATCACACTGTTCATAGATCAATCTTGACATACCGTGTTGTTAATTCAGTGTTCAAAACAACTCCACAAAAGCTTACTGGAAACATTAGCAAAAATCATTGCCAGGGAAGCTTTTTAGAATCATTCCTGCCTGTCATTGGGAGGCCCAGGAACTTATGGTAAGATCTGAGAAATGAAAACAAATGTATTTTTGAGGAAAATAGTACATATTTACAAAAACTATCCAGGGCTGGGGATGTTGCTGAGTGGTGGAATGCTTGCCCAGCATGCCCATGCTCAAGGTTCCATGGCCGGCACTAGGAGGACAGGCCACACCGAAAACCTACAAGAATGAACTACAGTATCACAGGAAAAGGAAGCAAAGATCCAAAGACTGGACAGATTGAACAGATAAAACAGACCATTTCATGGACTGGGATGTTAAATCCGGGGAGAATCACTCTTAAGGGCTGTAGGAATGAGGAGGGATGGAAAAATAGGTTTTTGAGATATTCTGGAAGACTGAAGTAGAAGGATTGCAAGCTTGAGCCCAGCAGCTTTGCAAGACCCTGTCTCAAAACAAACAAAAGCACAAAAAAACAAACCAAACCAAAAACAGCATCCTGTGTTTGAGTCCCCACCTCCAGCCTTGCCTATTGGCTTCCACGACCCAGGAAAATCGCGCGTGGGCGTGGTCCTACTTAGAGTCCAGCTCCAACCTCAGCCCTGGCCTCTGGCCCTGTATCTGTCTCCAGCCCAGCTGTGACTCCATCCCCAGGCCTATCTGCACCCAGGCAGAGAAAACTAGAACTTCTGTGCCTGAAAGCAGTCCACGGTGCCAGAGCCAGGGCCAGAGCCTGGCAGCCCCCGTTCTTCCGGCCCCAGAGCGTGAACGCGGAAGTGACGTCATGGACCACTGCAGCTTGTTCTGGCGCTGGCCCTGCGCTGTGGTTTGTTTTTTCCTTAGTTGTGGTTGGTCTGAAGCCAGTTTCGGTGAGGGAGAGCGAGGTGGAGGAGTTGGTGGTAATAGGAGTGGTGAGAGGACGAGTAACAGGCTTCCAAGCAGGTCGCGCGTCCTCCAGACGGGATCCTAAGGACCGCCCGGCCACCGCGCCAACTGGTCCCGCCAGGAGCCAATTCCCGTCGTGTCCAGAGCGCGCTTCCTTGGGCTCTGTTCCGAAACGGCCCCCGCATCTTCAAAAGCCTCCGTAGTCTGTGAGTTTTTCCCTAAGGAAAGGAATTCTTCCCCACTCAAGTTCCTTTGACTCCAGCGCTGTGTCCTCTGGCTTCACGGACCTGGAGATTCCGGTGCATCTCGGTGAGCACTGGAAGAAAGTTGGCTCGAGAGCGCTTCTTTCTCCTGTGTGTTTGAGACAGGGTCTCGCTATGTAGTTTAAGCTGGCCTTGAAGTCACTATGTATGTAGCCCAGGCTGGCAGCGATCCCCCTGCATCAGCCTCTTGCGCGCTGGGATGACCAGCGTGCGCCACCTCGCCCAGCTCTTCCTGTTTTGGCAAACAAGCGTTTCATTACAGAAATTGGTTTCCCCTTTGCGCGTCCGGTATTTGTTCTTCAGTCAGGTAGAAGGATAACAGATACTTGTGTAGAGTGTGCATGTTTTTGTTTGTGAATATATAAACTTGTGTAGTCGGGGATTGGGGGTGCGGCACAATGGTGAGCGCTTGCCTAGCATGCATGAGCCTGGGGTTCTATCGCCGCCCCAGAAAACAATACAAGCAAGCAACAAGAAGTGTGTAAACATCCTACAAAACAAAACAAAAAAAACCAGCTGGGGATTTTGCTCAGAGGCGCCATGCCTGCCTGGTAAGCTCAAGGTACTGAGTTCGACTTCCGGTACCAAAAAAAATAAAAAGTAGAAAGAATATCCAGCCATTCTGTTCATCTCACCTTCCCAAACTTGTGCCACTCAGATTCCAAACATCTTTCCTCTAGGAAGGACGAGGTTTTATTGCATTAATACTTTAACAATGAATTTATCATTTACTGTCTCCCAGAAAAACACTTCATTTGGCAAATTATTTGATATAAAGTCAGTTGGAGAGCCTGGTGTGGTGGTGCACACCTGTGATCCCAGCACTGGGGAGGCTGAGGCAGGAGGATTATTTTGAAGGTAATTTAGGCTGTGTAAGGCGTTCAAGGCGAGCCTGGACAACAAGACTGCCTTTAAAAAGGCCAGGCATGGTGGTGCATGTCTGTAATCTCAGCACTCTGGAGACTGAACAGGAGGATTGACATTAGTTCAAACCCAGCTTGAAGTACATAGGAAACCCTGTCTCAAAAAACCAAAAAAAAAAAAGAGAGAAAGAAAAGTAAGTTGGAAATTTTATGTATGACACTTGAGGTTTAAATGCTTGGTAATGCATTTCCTATAAAGACAAAATACTGTTATTTGAATCAAGAAAATTAAAAATGTTATTATGTGGCCTATGTAAAAAAGTATAATTCTACACATTTTTCCAAAATATGGTTCTGGTTGTTTTTGAATCTGATACTGTGTGCTCATATTTTATCTATTGCCATTGTTTATGTCTATTAGTCTCTTTGAACCCTGACCACTTTCTCCTGGTTTTTTTGTTTGTTTTCTTGAGACAGGGTCTCATTATGAAACCCAGGCTGGCCTTAAGAGATCCTCCTGCCCCAGCTTCCTGAGTACTGGGATGACAGGCTTGTGCTACCATGTCTGTTGTCTTTTTGAAGAATTATATGTTCATTGAAAAAGCAACAGTTTTTTTATATTTGTGATCTATAGTTTTCTAGTATATTTAAATATTTTCTCCATTTCTTGTGTTTCCTGCAAACTGAGGAGTGCTTGAGTGTTGGTTAAGCCATAGTAAAGGAAATTAAACCTAAGTCTTTATGTTTTTTTAAAAAATTCTTTTATTGGTACATGGTATACAACACAATTACATTTCTCATTGGGAACTTGTACCTTTACATGATGCATCTTTGTTCTTATTTTTTCCCCATTCCTAGTCCTCCCTTCACCCCCTCCACCCTTCCCTATTTACAATGACTTTATTTCCATTTTTTTCCATTTCTCACCATTTTTCCTTTCCCTTCTTTCCTTTCCCCTGCCCCTCCCACTACCCCTACCCCTTTGGACCTTTTCTTCCTATTTTGCATTATCAATTATTCATTCTAATCATTGGTACATTTTAGGTATACAATATAATGACATTCATCATGGGTAGAATTGGTCATTTCAATAATACCGGTTATGCAGGTTTTGATGGTTGGGATCCACCATGTTAAGATTGTAGAAATTCATCACAAGGTAGTTTTATTTTCAGATTTAAAAACGGAAAATTAGGCTGACAGATGTGAAGTGATGCAGATAATCACTCCTTCATGAACTGGGTTTTATAGAAGTTTTAATTCTTAAGGCCCCATTTTAATTTGCACTGGGCTATATGACCTGTGTTTTTCTGGGGCCCAAGGGGTCACATTTTCTCAGGACAATTTGTATCAAGTCTTAGTACTTTATTTTATTTTTTGAGAAAGGTTCTTACTATGTATTCCAGGCTGGCCTTGAACTTACTACATAGGCCAGGCTATCCTCAAACTTGTAGTGATCCTCCTGCCTCTTGAGTGCTAAAATTACAGGTGTGCACCACTATGTCCAGCACAATTTTTTTTTTTTTTTTTTTGGTACCGGGGATCGAACTTTGAGCTTTTGAGACAGGTGGTGGAACCACTGAGCTAAACCCGGGGCCCTCCAGCACAAATTTTAAATGCCCACTTACAGGTATTAATTATACTCACACTGTTGTGGAAATTTTGTCATTAACTGTTTTATGGTTTCTGTCTAGATGTTCCCCAAAGCCTTACAGAGTCATAGGTGGGGTTTTTCAGGGATAGCTGGATCTAGAATGTGTGATGCTGGGATTCATTCATGGTGTGATGCTAGGATTAAGTGTCCCCCACCTTGGTTTTGAGTGCTATCTAAGGGTAGATAGCGTGGATAGACTGGATAGAGTATAAGGCACAGAAAGAGCTGCTTCACTACTTTGCTACTTTGCTGCCTTCTGTCTGCCATGAACTGTTTCCCCTCTGTGATGTCCCTCTGCCATGTCACCCTGCCTTGGAGCCAGCCAACTATGGACTGAAACCTCTACAGACTGTGAGCTAAATACATCTTTCCTTCTTTAATTTTGGGCATTGAGTATTGTGTCTCAGCAATGAGAAAGGTAACTAAGACAACCCATCTCCAGGACTTTGATGTTCCCAAATTGAAAGCCTGTACCATTAAACACTAACTCCCCATTTGTCTCAGCCTGAGCCCCTGGCAACCACCTGTATAACTTCACTACGATGGGTACCTCATAAAGCAAAGTCACACAGTATTTGACTTTTTGTGGTTGTTTATTTCAGTAAGTATAATCTCCTCAGTGTTCATCCAGGATGTATCAGATGCCAGAATTTCCTTTCCTTTTAAGGCTAACGTTCTGTTGTATGGATGTACCATCATTTTGGGTTGTTCCATTTTTGTTTTTGTTTTTGGCAACACGGGGTTAAAAAAAAGGAAGCTGGACTCTAGGATCCTCTGTTGAAATCATTTTAATTCACACAAGCAATGAAGCCAAGGGAAATAGATATGTCCTAGCAAAGGAATTCAAACTTGAGTCAGTTTTACTTTTTTTCCCCTTAAAACACACATACAACTCAGGTTATATTTGCATATACTGCTGACAAAATGAATTTTTCCCTCCAGTACTGGAGATTGAACCCAGGGAGTGGGTTCTGCTTTTTAAAAAAAATTTTGAGACATAGTCTCAATAAATTGCTCAGGCTGCCTTCAAAATTATGATCCTCCTGCCTCAGCCTCCTGAGTAGCTGGGATTACAGGTGAGCACCACCACACCTGGCTTCAGAGTCTTAGTTTAAATTTATTATTTATTTGTTAAAATATTTATGCCTAATATGGAATCCTTTCAGGCAGTGGGTATTATGACTATGGGAAATTTAAGCAAGGCTACTGTTAAAGTATTCCCATTCTTGGGCGGGGATTTAGTATTCCCATTCTTCCTCAATTCTAAATTTAGTTGCTTTCCTAAGACTTAGAGGAAGCAGGGCAAGTGGGAATGGTGGAGTCAGGGCTCTTGATGGAATTCTAATGAATCATTGATTGACCAGCACCCTTTTACCAGTTGGAATGAGTTATCAGAAATGGGCATAGTGGTTTTAGATCCAATATGTAAGAGATGGATGTTATTCTGTGCTGATTATGTCTTCAAGTCAACACGTTTTTGATTGTGCAGGATCTTTATCTCTTCATCTTCGAATCTGGATTGCTGGCAAACAAAATAAAAGGAGTTCATGTAGTTTTTTTTTTAAATCCACGTTTGAGTCATCATAAGTACTAGTTTAGGAAAAGAAAAAGACTCTAAAGAGAAAGATCTCAAAGTACTATCAGCCAAGGAAAGAGAAAAGGAGGCAAAAGCCTCTGGAAGTTTTGGAAAAGAAAGCAAAGAAAAAGAACCTAACACCAAAGGGAAAGATTACAAAGATGGAAAGAAGAATTTGAGTGCTGCCCAACCAGGGGTTGCTTTTTCAGTTGACAACACAATCAAATGGCCAAATCCAGCACCCGGAACTAGGAAAAAAAATCCAGTAATGCAGAAGTAATTAAGGAGCTCAGCAAATGCCTGGAAGAAAATTCAGTGCATTTGGACTTATCCAAGAGATCTATACACATATTGCCATCATTAATCAAAAGAGTTGACTCAATTAACATAACTTTATTTATACAGTAACAAACTGCAGTCCCTCCCAGCAGAGGTGGGCTGTTTAGTAAATCTCATGACATTGGCTCTAAGTGAAAATTCACTTTCCAGTTTGCCTGACCCTCTTGATAACTTGAAGAAGCTTCTGATGCTTGATTTATGGCGTAATAAACTGAGAGAAATACCTTCAGTGGTGTATAGGCTAGATTCTCTCACCACTCTTTACCTTCACTTTAATTGTATAACTACTGTGGAAAAGGACATAAAAAATCTGTCAAAACTCAGCATGCTTTGCATTCGAGAGAACAAAATCAAACAACTACCTGCTGAAATTGGTGACTTATGCAACCTCATTACGCTGGATGTAGCTCACAATCAACTTGAACATCTCCCAGAGGAGGTTGGCAACTGCACACAGATTACCAACCTGGACCTGCAGTACAGTGAACTGCTGGACCTCCCTGATAGCATA